TTCATCAAATTCCATTCTCCATAAAAGGACGAGATGTTACACATTTCATATTTTGGATAAAGTTTTACAGTATTTGGCTAATATGTTCTCATTTTAGTTTAAAGAACTAGCCACGGACGACAAAGTCCTAAGTAGACTACTGGTAGGTAGGAACTTGTAACCAAGTTCTAAATATATCTATTGTCGTCTTTATTTATGCATAGATATAGACCACACAGTTATATCAAAGTACAATGAATTGATCTAGGAGAATCACGAGTTAAATCATTAAATATAATAACTATTAAATCAGTTCCTAGTTGACGAGCTACACCAATAATTAAGATCGTGACCTTTTCCATTTGAGACTAGCACTTAGTGTATGGGACTTGAGTCTCATCAGCTACAATGTAGAGATATTGACATACATAAGTGAGCACTCAAAGTCGATGAGCTTAATGAACTCCCTCGTCCTAGAATCTCTAAGTGGTTGCCAATAATCGAGTAGATGTTCTATGATTATAGTTGTACACTACTAGTCCTTAGGACCTAATAGATCACTACGACTTCATTAAATGACCAACTTTGTTGACATGTTACCGAGTCTCACTGAAGACTGCTCTAATGGCCAACCTTCGCACGATCTGAAATCTAGTGGTGGTCGTGCTTTGTAGTTAAGGATTTGACCGAGTGCTCAATTGCATGGATGTCTTGTTCGTTCTTCAAGTATATAGTTCAAGGAATCTTCAGCTGAAGTAGAAAGTCAGGTGATAAACGAAAATGGTTTCTCTGAAGCACACACAAATGTACTTTGTAATTTAGTCGAACAATATTTTGTAGAATATTATTTCTCTAATCCCATGAATCTGGGAGTGCCTCTCATTCAATATATACAGGAAAATAGTAAACAATGTAGTTTAATGCTAGAGGGAAACTACCTATCAAAACGTATCTAGAGTTTGATTCGTAATAGAATCCTACGAGATCTAGGAGAATGTAATGTAATCTAACACCCCGCCGCAGTCGAAATGGGGCCGGAGCAGATGTTGAGACTGGACAAAAACTCATGAAAAAGGGCCGTGGGTAGGCCTTTAGTAAAGACGTCTGTAAATTGGAAACGTGACGGAATGTGGATGACATGTACGAGGCCGAGTGCGACTTGATTGCGAACAAAATGAATGTCCATTTCCACATGATTGGTGCGTTGATGATGAACTGGATTGCTGGTGAGATACACTGTGGAAACATTGTTGCATTAAACGAGAATGGCTTTGGTCGGGGTGCAGTGAAGGTCGACCAACAGTTGACGAAGCCAGATGGTCTCGGCAACAACATTAGCCACAACTCAATACTCAGCTTCGGCACTAGACCTAGACGTGCAAGTTTGGCGTTTGGAGGACCATGAGACCAACGAGCTGCCGAGAAAAACGCAGTAACCGGCTGTGGAGCGACGAGTGTTACGACAACCACCCCAATCAACATCCGAATAAGCAGTCAAAGAGAGATCCGATGAGGCAGTGATTGATAGGCCGAGATGCAAGGTGCCGCAAAAATAGTGCTAAGTGCACTATATGTGGCGAGATGAGGCGTGCGAGGATCATGCATGAAGAGACAAATTTGTTGTACTGCATAGCTGATATCCGGGCGAGTAAATGTGAGATACTGAAGAGCGCCGGCAAGGCTGCAAAGTAAAGTCGGGTCGTCGATCGAAAGACCCGTGAGAGCGTCGGATGAGAGCTTGGGCGAAGTGTCTACGGGTGTTATGCATGGCTTGTTGTTAAGTGTATATTTTTACACTTTATCGTACCTTTTTATTTGAGCTTTTGGTGTGTTTTAACGATAATTGGTGCTTAAAAAGTTGATTTATTGTATTTTAGGTACAAATTGAAGAATTGGAAAAGTATGGGGTCAAAACTGCAATTTTGGAGAAAATATGGGCCAAAAGTGAAAAAATCAAAATTCTAAAGATTTAAAGCTCGGACGGCCGTCCGAGTTTTAGTTCAAATTGTGGGAGGTCGTCCGAGACTTCGTGCATGGCAGCGCAGTAAAGGGATTTTAATTGCACAAGGAAACTGCCTTCTTCCCAAAGTTTTTCATCCTATATAAGACCAAGCCAAGCACACAATTGGGGATCCATCTTTTACGCAATTTCAAAAGCAACAAAGCAATAACGAAGAAGAAGAATTCGAAGACTCCAAGCATAGACTTATCGTTTATGTTTAATTTTATTTGCGTTTTTCCTTTAATCATAAGTAGCTAATTTTCTTATTTTTAGGATTTTATTTGGAAGCCTATGTGGGATTTATGAACCCAATTTTATGATTTTAAGCAAATTTTAATTCCAGATTATTTCTTCTACTTGTTTTATTAAGTGCATGAACTTGATCAACTTATGTGCTTTTATGTTATTGTTAATCGCATGAATCGGAAGATCAGGTTAATAATTAAAACTGTGGTAGAACAGCCTTTGTGGTATTAACATAAGAATATAGTTAATCTTTTAGGTAGCCATTATTGAGATTTGTGCTTAATGCTGTGTTCTAGAATTAATTGCATAGGAATATAGTAATTGAATCTAGAGTATTAGAATCGTAATACACGCGGAAGCGGGTTATGATTATTTTAGCATCTCAGGTTAATAATCCGGGTTAATTACTTGCATACTTGAAGCAATTGGGGGAATAATAATCACATAGGGGGAACAATAAAATCCTAGGCTTGTCTACTTTGATTAATCTTTGTGTTTAAATTGCATACTTGCTATTGTCTTTTTAATTTGCTTTTTAATTTATTTTTAATTTAGTTAATTCTCTCCAAAGTCGACTGTGTAGGGTGGGCTTGATAGCAATTGGTAGAACTTAACATCTAGGATTAGATAATTAAATATTCCCTGTGGGTTCGATATCCGGACTTTTAGTCCACTATATTACTTGTACGATACGTGCACTTGCGTGTAGGTTATCAGCCAACAAGTTTTTGGCGCCGTTGCCGGGGAATATTTTAATTATTTATTTTATTCTAGCTCTAAATTTGAACAATTTTCACGATTCACCTATTTAATTTTTGTTTTATTTTATTTTTCTTTTAGGTACTGTGTATGCGTAGGAGGCTCAATCTTGCTAGAGAACCGTTTGATCACGAAATCGAACGTACTTTTCGAGCCGCTAGGAGACTTCAACGCGAAAACAATATAACGGAGGACGAAGAACGCAGGGCAGAGGGCAATTTACTCAATGCCAACGGAAACCAAGTCCAAGACCCACCCCCTCAACTTCCATTACAGCCAGCAGCTAGGCCACGGGCACTTCAGGACTACATAATCACACCTCTCGACGGATTCCGCCCGAGCATCCAATATCCACCTATTGAGGCACACAATTTTGAGATCAAGCAAGGCCTATTGACGATGCTCCAAAATAACGGGCTATTTAGTGGATTGGCGGGTGAAGATCCTCATCTTCATATTGTCAATTTTCTAGAGACCTGTAATTCCCACCGTCAAAACGGCGTTTCCCAAGAGGCGCTTCAATTGATTCTCTTCAAGCACTCCTTACAAGGAAGAGCTCGCCAGTGGTTGATGTCCCAAGCCCCCCACTCTATCTCGTCGTGGCCTCAACTCCTCAACCTTTTCATGAAAGTTTATAGCTCACCCGAGAAGGACGAGAGAATCCGACGAGAAATTCATAATTTTGTCCAAGAGCAAGGCGAGCAATTATACGAGGCATGGGAGAGATTTAAAACTCTTTTGCGGCAGTGTCCAACACATGGAGTCGAAGAATGGCGGCAAATCCACATCTTCTACCAAGGGATTAACGAGAATGCACGAACTATCTTAGATGCATCAACCGGAGGAAATTTTATGAGTCAATCGATACCGGATGCATTTATCATGTTGGATCAAATTGCACAAAATCGGTTTGCCAAGTCAAGCGAGAGGACGGTTAGTGGAGCCAAGAAAATTCCCGGAGTGTTGGAGTTAGATGCAATTACGGCCCTTCAAGCTCAAGTGACCCAAATTGCTCAACAAAATCAACTCCTTCTACATCACATCAAAGCAAATCCACCACAACAAGTCCAAGCCGTTGAGTCTCCATGTTGTGAAATTTGCGGTGGAAATCACTACACGCTCCAATGCCAACAAGATGTGGAATCGCTCAACTACGTCAACAATGCGCCTCGCCAATTCCAAAATTAAGGGTGGAGATCACAAGGGAAATATGGAGGAAATCAACAAGGCCAAGGGTATCAAAGACCTCAAGGTAAATTCCAACATCAATCCCCTCCTCACCAAAGCTATCAAGGCAACAATCCACCAGCCCAAAAATCAAACACGGATGAGATTTTGGCCCAATTCATGACAGCTACCCAAGCCTCGCTGCGGAATTTGGAGAATCTATTCGCTCAATTCGTTGTGAATCAAGAGAACCGTCAGGCGGGAGCATTGCTATCGAATACGGAAGATCCTCGAAAGCAAAAGTTCGAGACGTGCCAAGCTATCGATTTCAAGATCAAGAAAAAGTTTGGGCTGTAAACTGCCATCTTTCTGGTGTTTACAGGGTTAAGAGTGCACAAATCTTACCCATCTAGCATTAGAGAGTTCAAATTGCAATTGTGAGTATTTGGAGTGAGGATTTTGTGTGTGCACCTTAGTCTCCTTTGTATTCTCTGTTGGAAAATTAATATAAAGGTTCGTCATTGCCCGTAAACGTGTTGTGTGTTTGTTTTCCGCTGCATACTCTTGTTTACGTTTACGTTGGCTGAAAAAACTTTGTATTTGTGCGTTTGTGTGAAGAGAATCGAGGGAAAAGTGACTTGTTTTAGAGTGGAAACCAGGCCGCACGGGCGAAAATTTATTGTGCAAAGAAACCTCTGTGACAACGTGGATCCTCAATACGTTTTGCAACTAGCCATTATCCAATGTGTTCTTCTGAACGAGAATACAACATCATTCTTTTTCCCGCAAGACTAGACAGGCATCTAGAATTTTACCAAAACAAATTATTGACTATTTAGAGTATTGAAACAAAACAAGCAATATATATAGGACCAAACACATCCTAAAGCTTGTAATTAAGCCCATTTTATTTACTTATTGAATTAAACATCATGAACAAAAATATGTAAAATCAATGCAACAACATCGGAATAATTAACATACATATATATATTTGGGAAGCTTACAATCTTCTTATAAGACTTAAAAATGAAATTATTAGACAGCTGGCTTCAATATTTATAATATTCGTCGCATGCGGAGCATTTGTCGATTCAATGGACGACAGCATCGACATAACACTTGCCTATCTCCACACTGTAAAGATCTCTCCTCCTACAATGACATGTTTCTGTTAAAAATGGTTTTGGACGGTGACGAAATAATGTATATATTATTGAAATGAAGTGCGCATAAGGTAGACTTGTCACTATACATTTTACACACCATAAATTCCAAACACACTCGAACACGACTTTCATTCCACCACGTTTGTGATATTTCCTAAACCATGCCGGACTTATCTTCGTGAAAATTAAGCTAAACGAATAAAGTTGAAGTAAGTTGGTAGTAAGCAGAAGCTCATTTTTTTTTGCAAAGGTAAAAATCTTTGGAAAAAAGGTAATGAATAATAGCCAGTCAAAAAGAAAAAAAGTTTACATGAAATGATTATGTATCCAAACCCCAAAAGAAAAAGGTTTTCAGGATAAAGATCCACTATATATATGAAAAACGAGGACGGGTTTTTGGATCTATTCGTATAATATGATCATATAGATATACGACTAAGGAATTATATATAGTAGAAATAACAAATTTGGTTAGAAGACAATGATGAAGACCACGAAAACTATCGATTATGAGGCAAGAAACGAACACCCGAACCCCCGGTCCAACCTGCAGCTGTCTATAGATCAAAAACCAACGAGTACATAAAGAATATACTAGACAACTAAACATGGTTAATAAACCTAAAGTAAAACAACCTTAAAAGAAATTTATTACATTTGCAGCGGTTAAATTAAAGGACATAAATTTGCATACTAACACTGTCAATAAACCCTAATCATAAACCCTAAACAAAAGATCACTTGGTTGTATTTGTGTTAGAATATTGATCGATCATCAGTTGAATTAATATACATTACATCAGTTCTGCTAAACAATGATGATTAATGGTAATGTTGCAATATTAATGTTTTTTTAGGACGCTACCAATTGTCCTAAAACCAATTAGTGTTAGAAAAAACGCAAACCCTAGCTTTATAGTGCGTTCAACACTCACAAGCTAGCGCCCACGGCAATCGATTGTGGGCCGCTCATACCCGGACCTTCCCACGTGGACAATTATATTACTGTCAAACACAAACTCAGGCTAACCGTTTTGTTATTATTAGGTCTTATATTTTAGTAATATAATCTCAGTCTTTAACTAACTTTGTATATATTTATAACCAAAGTTAAACCATTAATCTAATTATTCTAAATTTCTATATACTGATCAGTCATTGATTATGAATCCACATAAAAGCAAACTATCAAAATTACCATTTGAATCAATTAAGTAATTACCTCTGCAATTGAAATCCATGCCCTCAATTCTTGGGTGAAAAAAGAATAGTCAAAATTTCAAATAATTAACCTCAAGAATTAATGTTACATGGTTTTTGAAAAATTCTGCAAAAAAAAAAATAAAAAGAAAGAAAGCACTGGACAAAATTGAATAATTGGTATATGTCCCACACAAACCAACCAGACAGAATGCAATCTAGTAAAGATGCTGAAAACAATCATCCATTTAATATAAAATAAAATAAATAAATTGCCCTCATAATAAAGATCAGTTTGTGTATGCATCACTAAGAATTGAGTGGGTTAAATAGTATTATTGGGGGCATTTATTTAATAACAGCAGATCATATATATAATTATTTATAACTATATATATTTATATTTATATCATGGTATAATTAAATAAACATTAATTCTGGTTTCTCGTACACAACCTGTTGAGATAGGATAATACAATGATGTGATTCCAGATTAAATAATTAATTAATGCTTGAAAGCCCACAAAAAGGAGATGAATTTAATTTGCATGGCGGACTTAAAATATTATATCTTGATTTGATTATTTTATATCATATAAAAAATAAAATAAAGTAGATCAAATAAATGATTAAAAGTCTGTCCTATTCTTTATATAATACATGCAAATGAAAAATCTGTGGGGGCAAAAAATCTGCCAGAATCAGAAAAAAAGATGCTCAAGAAAATGGAATGCTGATACATAAAATGGTGAGGTACTGTAATTAGTGGGATGTTATACTATAGATTCATTACAGGGAAAAACTCGAAAATAATTAGTAGTAATTATTGTTGAATAATCATCTCAACCGAAAGCTTAGTGCAGGCTAGGGGAGTGAGCGAGCCGAGCTCGGCTGTTTTGGTAGGCACGAGCTCGAGCTCGAGTCCATTTTGTTGAACTTGAGCCCAAGCTCATTTTCTTTTAATTATATTTTTATGACTAAAAATTATTTATATTATAACAAAAAAAAAAATTGTAAAAATAAATAATCAACTGTAAATATATATATATTTTATTTAATTTTGATATATTATTTTTAATATTATTATTATAATATTTTAAATTATTATATATTAATTAAATAAAAAATAATATATAAAAAATAAATAAAAAGAAGGCTCGTGATCCGGTTTGTGAGTTCACGAACAATGAAAAAAAACTCAAGTTCGAGCTAGTCAAAAAGCTCGAGCTCGAGCTCTTTCCGAGTCGGCTCATCGAGCTCACGAGTTGGCTCGCTCTTTTACTACTCATAGTGCAGACGAATTACATCTAAAGCCTTACACTTGAAATATTTGAAATGGGTGGGATTCGAAGTCACAGGACCTTTCATTTGACCTGACTCTGTTACCATATTGAATGATCGTCTGAACCAAAAACTTATGCTGTTACTTATTAAATATTACAATCTCAAATAGTAATAATGTTTCTTGTTTAAAAACATCATCTTCTTGCAGATCATACATATATAGATATTCTTTCTTTAATTTATGTGATTGATCGATAAGTTTTAACAAGGTTTCTTGTTTTGATCAACCATTGGTTGTTTATATATTTAGGGTTTGTACCTAATATTTTGTTGGATTAGTTTCTTTAAACTCACATTTTATGTTCTGGTTTTTTGTATTTTTCTGATAATTATAAGCATCTATATATAGTATTATAGTACAGTGTAATTCCTTCAAACCAGGGATTTTGTCTGTTTTTTCTTCCCAATGGGGATTTAAAATCAGATCTGCTGCAACAAGACATACATATATATGTTTAACTAAACATATACATATATGTAAATACCCACATGCAATAATATCTCATTTAATTAATTGCAAAATTAATGATGCATATAGTTTATTTACCTTCTTATAATTCAAGAAAATGGCGTGGAAGAAGAAGAAGAGTTGGACTCGTCATCAGTCTTATTGACCTTTTTGCCCTTCTTCTTGTACGGAATCCCTCTGGCCTTAGACTGGCACTCCTTCACCTCCCTCAGGTAAATCCTGATCGCGCCGCTGGCGAACGGGTTGCTCTCCGGGGAGCCGCCGTTCTCCTCGTAGGCGGCGCGTAGCCTACCGATGAGGGCGTCGAGGCTGCCCCAGGCCTGCTTGAGCGGGCAGGCGCAAGGCGCGGGCGGCTCGGGCTGCCCGTAGAACACGCAGCCCTGCAAATGAACTTTGGTCTTCCCGAACTGGTCCAAGTACCTCAAAAAGTCGAGCACGTGGCTGCTGTTGCAGTGGGGCAGGCCCACCGACGGGCGCTGGTTCCTCAGGAACTGCCCGAAGGTGTTCCAGTCCCGCCTCTTCTGGGACTCGTAGCGGCTGAGGGTTGCGGCGGCAGACGGCGGCGATGACCCTTCCGACGAGTGATGTTTCCCTCTGTCCATCTGAATTATTCGATCGGATTAAATCTTGTGATCGATCGATCGATCTCCTTAATTCCTTTTGGTTTTTTTTTTTGGTGTTGCTAAATAAGGCAAGGTTAAATGAACAAGAGAGAGGAAGCAAGTAAGATGAAGAATATCACATCATAGAAAGAAAGAGGGCTAGAGCTATTGTGAGTTGACATGCGATGGGCCACCATTATTCTGCTTCTCTTGTCACCATTTTTTGGACGAATATTTTTCCCTTCACTTGATTAGGTAGTGTCGACTACAGTAGCTAGTTTCGTAATATACGTTGTTGCTTCATGGTTTCTTATATAATAATTAGTATAAAACAAGTTTATTGAGTTAGGTGTTTGTTAAGTTTGTGGACCAAAATAAATGATTTAAGTGAATTGGGCCCGAGCAGCCCAACCTTGGAGTCGGCCCAGTTGATTTTGTTTTGACCCAATTCATTTAAGTGGGAGACATATATTGGCCGTCCATGATTATGTGACGATTTTGACTACTCATCCATCCACTTAAATAGTTAAAACTGGTTTCAACCCTAATTTTTTCTCTTTGACTTTACGGCCGCTCTTCTCTACATCTTCTTCTCTTTTCTGTTGTACCTTCTTCTTGCTTTTCCATATCGTTTTTCGGTTACTTCTTCAACACATGGAGAGCATTAATGACAACTTTGTGGTCTCCTACCGTTGCTTTTGGGCTATTTATATGGTACTTCAAGAGAGATAGAGAACACTGTGCATACACTTAATTTTATTTGTTTTTCACTCTGATCTAAGGTGATTGGTCATGGGTCAGTTAAAACACTAGTGAGATTGAGAGCTTGAGTGTCAAAACACATGTGAGGAGGGGAGTTGAGCCTTGGTGAGTCAACTGGGTGAGTAGGGTAGGTTTAGGATTCCTAGTTTCTTAGCTCTGTGGTAGACACCGATTCTAGTTGCCGTCATTGTGGGTTACTGGGCGTGGACTTGGACAAAAGGGAACGGCCAATTGTTGGACAAACAGTTCCATGTGTTGGAACTAATCTGGTGATGTCAATCTTTGTTTCATGTTTACTTACTTGTGTAAA